ATCTGTTTAGCATGCTTTTGAATTCTTGTTGGTAGCTGCGAGTGGAGTTCAGTGCTGAACGGTGTGCCCGATGAGAGGTAAAGATTGTCTTATACGTGTTGTGCGGCTTATATAGCAATGCTTGTTTGAGGAGTCGCCAAAAAATTTAATCTTCACCTGTGTGACTGTGTGTCAAAACCCTCTTTGCCTTCGCACTGGTCTGCTTAGGCATTTGTACAGTTCTGGTTTGTTCAGTCCGGGGCACTTTTTTTATTTTATTTTATTTTATTTTGGGGGCACATTGATATTTTCTTGGTCAAGGAAAAAGAGGGCATTGTGGGCTGAAATGCTGATGTTTGAGACTGTCGAAACCTGATAATCTAGGATTCTTTGAATCTGCATATCCCCTATAGGCTGTAGCAAATGCCATTTACAATTCTCTGCTGTGGTCTCTATGCTGCCAAGTTGGGTTGGTGCTACACATGCTGGAATCAGCTGCTAACCAAGTAACTGACTGTCACCTCCGTGCCACTTGATGTCTTTGTTCTGTAGTATGAATTTACCAATTTTGTCTCGTATTTCTGAGTATTATTTTAGTACTTATTCTGCACTCAAAGAGAGCAAGAATGCCTTCCTAGTTTGAATAACTAGGTTTGTGTTATCATTGGCACTCCCATGCTCAAACACAATCACTTTGTGCCAGGAAATCACCGCATTAGAGCTGTCAACCTTCGCAATATCTGCCTTTTTGTCACTGTGTGCAGCAATAAATTTATCTCAAGTTCTGTTTTTGGTAACATCGATTGACTGCACTTTAAGTTTCTGATAAATCATCTTTGCTGTCACTTTTAGGAAGAGTTTGACACTCATGATCCAAAGGAGAACACTTTGCTACTCCCTTACTTGAGGAAAAGGTCAAAAATCATTGAGATAGTTGCAGCGCGTGATATAGTCTTTGCTTTATCACAGTCAGGAGTATGTGCTGCTTTTAGTAGAGGTATGGTATTTCTGCCTTCTTGCAATCCATTTTTGCTTCCTCTGGCTATCCTGAGATTCTATTTTTATATTTCCAGAGACAAATCAGAGAATATGCATTCTGAATGGAAGTCAAGATGAAGTTATCCGCAGTTTATTTTACAACAAGAATAATGATTCACTCATTACTGTGTCAGTATATGGTTCTGAAAACTTCAGTGCTCTGCGATGCAGAACAACTCGAATAGAGTATGCTTGTGGTTCCATATGATTTATCAACACAATTGTTTTTTTTTGTTATGTCATCTTCCTTAAGACATTTTACCCCAACTATTCAAGGTACATTCGGCGAGGACAACCGGATGCTGGTTTCCCCATTTTTGAGTCTGAGTCATTGAAATGGCCTGGATTTGTAGAGTTTGATGATGTCAATGGGAAGGTTTTGACTTACTCTGCTCAAGACAGGTATGCTGAATCACTGACTTTGGTAATGGCTAAAAGAAACTGAATCTTCTGTGAATCTGCTCTGATGCCATCTCATCAATAAACAGCACTTACAAGGTGTTTGATTTGAAAACTACTGCGCTACTGTATTCGGTGTCTGATAAGAATGTTCAAGAAATAAAGATCAGGTAATTTGATATTTCCTTCTTCCTGTGTTCCTTTTCCTGTGTGTTACTGTATCAGATACTCTTTATTCTTCTTTCAACTTTGATGTGCGGTAAATTGATCAGCCATCATTTTAATTTCTCTTATATTAGAAGTCATAACAGCAACAGGTTTGGCACTTAGGGGGTGTTTGGATCCTGGGGCTAAAAACTAGCCCATCTTGTGATAATGGGCTAAACAGGGGCCAATGAGAGGTAATGGGCTTGAGGCCCCACTAGTTCTTATTAGCCCATGTCCAGCCGTCCTATTTGGCTTCCAAAACCCAGGGCTAATAGCCCATGGGGTCCAAAACTCCCTTATACATCTTTAAGATGAGAGAATCATTCAAATAGAGGATAGGATATATATCTAGCGCATGGACTCTGGGCAATAGTATTTCTTACAGAAGATCTTGTCTGTATACTTTCAGCTTAAAGTATTTTATTTGATTCTTCAGTTGGCTGTACATATTTGCAATTTGCATTTGTCCAATCTCTAATTATCTGTTTTCTTGTCACAGCCCTGGGATAATGCTATTAATTTATACAAGAACAAGCAGCTCGGTTCCTCTGAAGATTCTTTCCATCGAGGATGGTACAGTCTTGAAGTCCTTCAGCCACCTTCTCCATCGTAACAAGAAGGTAGATTTCATTGAACAGTTCAATGAAAAGCTTCTGGTCAAGCAGGAAGGAGAGAATCTTCAAATTCTTGATGTAAGCCTTATACCTAAATGCAATCAAACGAAGATTATTTGTTTCGTCATTAGGGTTTTAACTCTGAACTCACTTGTGTACCTAATAATATCTGTAGGTAAGGAACTTCCAGTTGACAGAAGTGAGCAGAACTGAGTTTATGACTCCATCTGCCTTTATCTTTCTGTATGAGCTGCAACTTTTCCTGACATTCCGGAATCGATCAGTAGCAGTTTGGAACTTTCGAGGTGAACTGGTCACATCATTTGAAGATCACCTGTTGTGGCACACTGACTGCAACACAAACAACATATACATTACAAGTGATCAAGATCTTATTATTTCATACTGCAAGGCTGACTCAACTGATTCATCTTCAGAAGAAAACGGTGAGCATCTTTTATATATATTGTTGAACTGCTCCTGTATTTTTTATTGCAGTGCCTGTTACATTCTCCTGGTTATGTTCTTTTGATTTTCCCTTGTAATATTCTTTCACTGCCAGCTAGATTGTGTTTCATGTGCTTCTCAGATCAAACAATTTAACTAAAATTGCCATTGCCTTATCTCATAGCTCATGATGCATGTTTCGTTCTAAGCTGGATTTTGTTCAGTTTGATAAATTGGTCAATTGTTTTGGATGGAATTCACTGTACTTGTTTTTTTTCACTTCAGTGCGATGTACATAAAATGGCACACGCATGGTATTCACTACTTCAAACTTATTTTGTAACTTACAAATATAGTGCCTAGTTTTTTGCTGGGACTTCTTTTTTTAATATTGCATTTCATCCTTCCTTTTACGATTATTGAATGAAACTGCATTTCTCGTGTTGGCGCTTATAAAATTATTGAACAATAATCTTTGTTTCCTATAATGCAGCTGGCTCTATAAACATCAGCAGCATACTGACTGGCAAATGCTTGGCAAAAATAAATCCTGGAAATTCGTGCAAGCAAAAGAAAGCATGGAGGTTCCAGAACACAGTCTCGGAGGCCCTCGAGGACATCACAGCTCTGTACTATGACGAAGATCGTGATGAGATCTACACTGGCAACCGGCATGGCCTTGTCCATGTGTGGTCGAACTGAAAGCTGAAACTGTGGCGGCTTTCACCCACAGCACAGTGATCTTCACCTGTATGTGTATTAACAGCTAGTACCTCATGTGGCAGGGGGCATGAAGAAGACCCTTAGCCACCGCCCACCAGGTACGTATGTGATGCTTCATTTTGAGGCAATTCTTATTTATCTCAGCATGCCAAGAGTTCTCTCCTCCCATTCAGAAATCAGAACCATCCAGATTTGTTGTAGAATTGGCAATCGTTCTGTGTTTTCACTGTAGCATGTAGCTTTTTGGGAATGCTGATTATGTCCCTCAACTCAGACACAGAGCGAGTTCAAGTGTAACGGATGTTCCTTGCAAGTAATGAAATTCATTCGTTGAGTTCTCATTTCGTCGAAATGCTTTCACTGTTGAAATGCCAAGAGTAGTGTATGTTCAGAAATGCGGAATCCTATTCTGAATGTCTTGGGCCTGGTGAGGGTGCTCACTGTCACCAGAGAGGATGCTGCTCCTTTGATGAGTACTGTAATTCAGAGTGCATACTCAAGCACAACTCAGTCTTGTTTTTTCGTGGCCAGAATTTAGATTAGTCTAAACTTTGGTTGACCAGAGAGAGCAACAGGCCTGAGGTTCGTTTGCAACACGGGAACTGGAGCGTTTGCTAATGGAACTCCTGCGTTCCAAACGACTCCGCTCGGCCCGGCTCCGGCGCAGTCTGTGCTCCACAACCTCACCGCCCTCACGGCCAACCCCGCATGGCGCGGTGCTGGTGCCGAAAGACCAAGACGCAACCACCTTGGCGAGTCGGCGATCACCGACGGCAGAACTTTCGGCGTCCGGAATTTCAACTCGCACCACTAAGCAGCTTGGGGCAAGCAAGACGACTAGACCAAACCAGAATGATCAAGTGCTGAGCCGACCAGGGCTGGCGCCTGGAAAAAGGAGCACGCCACCAACCATTTGTTTCGCGTGCTGGCAAGGCCGTTAGGATTTCCGGTCCCGGGCAGTCCAGCAGATGCTTGGCCCGGATCCACCGTGCAGTCTCAGTCTCGCCACTCCATCATTGTAGCACTAGAATGTATGTACAGGGGCTCATGAAGTGGGGGACAAATAAGCGTGACGCTCAAGCTCAAGCATGCCCCTCTTCTCCTTTATGTGTGGACTGAATTTGAACCGACACAGCAACACTGTCCAAGTGATTTTTGTTGGCATGCCAACATTTTCTTCTGAAAAAATAGCTGATTCTCCGAACGCAATTCAGACTGCGCATGAGAAAATGCAATAGTGGGGGAAAAACAGAGAGAGACAGGGGAATTGTCCTACTCTAACCTCTTTTTTGTTTTTTTTTTGCTTTTTGAAGTATTTACACTTTGCTCCCTCTTTACAAGGTGCATGGTTTTACTGCCGGGTAAAAACCCAAAACCACACACGCCAAGAGGAGCTCCAATCCACGTTCACATTCTATGACCCCAGTTAATCGGCTTTGGTATCAAAGAGGAACGAAAAAAATGGCAGCCGTGAGCAACTGCTGTGCTCCCGGCCGGGCCCAAACAATTGGGGGCAAAATAAGGGGGGAAGAAAGCACCCATGCCAATGGAGAATTCCCAATGGAATTGCGGCACGGCGATATACAGAGAGCACTAGGAGGACCAGCTCCTGAGCAGGGACGGCTTGCCGAACATCTGGTCGAGCGCGAGGACGACGGCCATGGCCAGCGACACCTCCATCCCGGGCTGCACCACCAGACGGAACACGTCCGAGCCCACCGCCTCCTTGGGGAGCACCTCCGCCACGGCCCGCCACCGCTCGTCGTACACCGTGCAGCGCCGCCGCAGGTACGACCCCTCCACCTCGTACCCGCCGGCGCCGGTTTTGGCGGCGGCTCCGCCAGAGCACGCCGCGACGTGCGCCATGGACTTGGCGCCGCCGCCGCCCCCCGCCGCCGCGCATGTACTGCGCCGCCCGCTTCACGGCGTAGAGCGGCGGCAGGCGCCAGGTGTCATCGCCCGGGTACACCAGCCACTGGTCGGACCCCAGCCCGAGGCCGATCAGCTTCCTGCAGCGGCGGAGGGTGAGCACGGGGCAGCCCGCGGCGTCCATGAGCACGACCTCCGCGCGGGAGTCGGACGCGTAGCTGTCCACGCGGTACACCAGGTCGCCGCAGGCGTCGAACACCGTGAACCCCTGCCGTTGAACAGCAGCGACTTGCGCCACACCGTCAGAGTGACCGGCTCCTCGTCGGCCGGCGCTGGCGCCGGCGCCGGCGCCACCACCGGCGGCTGCTGGCCGAGGACGGCGGCACGGCGACGTTCGGGTGTATCTTCGCCGTCATGCTTAGATCAGCAGACTGATGTTTCTAGATTTAAGAATGGTGGAGAGATGGGAGGAGGAAGTTAGCTCGCTAGCTAGCTAGAGGAGGAGAGAAATGGCAGTTTATGATTGTGTCACGGCTTAAGAGGGGTGGACGTGAGCAGTATATATACACACTCCATGGACAGGAATGCCCCTGGATAATTAGGGTTGGGTTGGAAGGGTTATGTGGCAGATGGCTCTCACGTGTATTGGGGCAGGGGATGAGATTATTAACTATATATTCCACCCTAATAATGCTCTGCCACTTTTATCTAAAGTTTAAAGTAACATGAAACTTTAGACAATACAATAGAGACACATTTACACTCATGTAAACATGAATCTTGGCTAGGATCCACCCAAGGACTACAATCAGGTAAAAGGGTTAGAAACATATATTGTTTGCTTATAAATATGTGGTAAGAATTATTTTCTTGAGGCCAGTTTAAAAGATGTAAGGTAGATGTATTGGTTAAGTATCATAAATGATGGAACATGTTCACCTGAGTTTAAATCTTGATTTAGCATCGGTGCACATATTTACAGTTCATTATTTTTTCAGTGTCGGCTAAGTTACAATGACTTTATCAAGTTTAAGATACGCCAACATAATGCACAAGGTCATGGACGCAGCCAGAGGCGGAGCTATGTTCAGAAGATTGGGTATGGCCGCACCCAAAAAAAAAAACAGATCATATTCGTACCTTCATGTCACAAATCCCTGTAGGCATGAGACAAGCGTACCCTTTTGGATTTTCTCTAGCTTTGCCCCTGGACGCAGGCTATGCAAGTGAGAATTCTAGGGCGGGTGCATGTATGTAGAGTGTTTGCGCACATTGCGTTCTAAAAATAATGACAACACTTTCTTTTAAAGGTGCAAGAGGAAGCCATCGTTTAAAGATTTTTTAGATTTGGAGGAATCTTAGGTCCCGTTTGGTTGGCACAACTCAGCTTTATTAGTGAAGCTGTTTTTTTAAACGGCTTCACGAGAAGCCTTCTCGGTGAAGTGAGCTGTTTTGAAAAAATTGTGTCGGTGTTTGAGTTGCCACCAACAAGTAAATTTCTAATATTATTGTCTGGCTTGGATGGTGTGCTAAGAGGACACGAGGTTTATCTTTGGTTCGGGCGAGAATATCCCTATGTCCGATTCGTTCTTCTTTTTCGTGTTACTAGCCTTCGAAAATTCATAGTAGGGGTTACAAAGCGGTCGAGAGAGGACATATCCCAAGTCTCTGGTGAGAGGAACGAGCAGGCGCCGAGGGCTCGGTCGCTTCTCTGTGCGTGTGCTTGTGTGTTCTAATCGGTTAGGGGTTCGAGTCCGAATCGGTGTGATGTGTTGCGATGCGTTCGAGTTGATCCGATTCGAGTCGAGTCGAGTCCGATGCCCTTTGTGGGACGCCCTGCTTTCCCTTTTATAGGCCAAGGGAAAGCACGGGTTACAGTGAAGGAAGAGAAGAGAATGAGAGGAAGAAGTCCTTCAGGATCGCCGGGTCCTTCTCCTCTGTCTGAGTCCCGCCGACCACATGAGACGTCAACGAGGATAGCTTCTCGTCGCCCCATCCGTCACACCGCACCATGTGCAGGCGTCGTCTGCCGGTTATGGCGCTCCACTCCGTCTTGGCGGACGTCGTCTTTCTTTGGCGACGTGCCGTCGGTTGTTCATAGGGGTTAGGTAGAACAACACCGATGCGCGCCTGATTTGTTCTGATGTGAAGGGTATGGCCCGTCGTGGGTTCATGAGCTACATCGGCGTGCCGATCTCTTCCCTAGTGTTAGAGCTTTGACCCAGCCCATACGCTTGGACCTGGAGTGGTTAAGGCGGTATGGGTCTTCGTCAGGCGAGACGGAGTTCCTCCCAGGCCAGGCGGCGCGAGGCGGAACCGCAAACCCAAGGCTCGGGCGGCGGAGCCCAAACCCAAACCCAAACCCAAGGTCGGCGCGGGCGAGCCAGCCCTTAGAGGTCGGGCGAGGCAGAGCCTGCGGCCTCGGTGTCGGGCGAGGCGAAGCCAACCTCAGGGGTCGGGCGAGGCGGAGCCCGCCCTCAAGGGTCGAGTGAGGCAAAGAACACGACCTCGGTGTCGGGTGAGGCGGAGCCAACCTCAGGGGTCGGGTGAGGCAGAGCCCGCGGCCTCGGTGTCGGGAGTGACGAAGGTCGCCCCCAGAGGTCGGGCGAGGCAGAGTCCGCCCTCAGGGGTCGGGCGAGGCGGAGTTTGCGCACCTGGGGGTCGGTTAAGCCGTAGTCACACTCTTGACTGCTCGGACGAATCAATGTTGATGGTAGCTCCTCCTCTTCAGATACCCTAATATTCGTCCCCGATAAATTGTTTGGCAAATAGGTTCACCAACAACTTCATGTATGACTAAGAGAGGGAAATGAGGGAAAGACCTGTGAAAAGCTATTTTTTGTCAGCTTCACCTGTCTCTTTGTGAGAGCATAAAAAAAAAGCTTCACCCATAAAGATGTGTTTGGCAAAAAAAAAAGAGAGCTCAAACTAGCTCGTGAAACTGTTGGTGAGAAGCTGTGTCAAATAGAGCCTTAACTATACAACAAATTTGTTAACAAAGTAGGCTTATGTAGCCACCTCTTCAAATCCACCCCGACTCTTCATAATCTTTTCAAACCAGGCTCATATTGGAGTTTCTAGGAGAAGTTTAAGAAAGAGCTGTAAAACGAATCTGATGCATTTTGTTACTCATAAAAGGCTGTTAATTAGCCTGATTAGAATCTATAATTACAGCGTTTGGCAGCCTCCTTGGAGCATCTTTTTCATGGTATCACTTCTCTCAGCCAAACTACAAAGAGTGATCAGTATAAAAATCGCTTCCTCATTTATACTAAGAACTACACTTCCTACTGACGTCTATTCATTTTGCAGGAATTATTGCATCAGAGAATAAGAACGAAGCTCTACCAAACAAGCTCTTACCCTCTTCTGTGTTCACGTCTCCGGCTCGACGGCTTTGCTAAAATTTACGACCACTATATACCCCGATATTTCTCGCATTCGCAATCAACGTCGCTGCTCTTGCAATTTGGGTTGGTAATGTTGGTTAATCATAGCCAATTCTTTAAGCGGTTTGGCCATGTTCTACGCTGTCGTTTCATTCATTAAAAAAGATGTTCTTACGCTGTCGCTGGTCAAAATCATTCCCCGAAACCGACCGAACGCGTGGCACGAGGTGGGGATTCGGGTGGCCAGGATGAGGCGAGCGCGCGCTGGGGGCGGCCCGCGGCCGAGAGATGCAGCCCCCGCATAGGCGCTCGCTGAGTCGCTGCCGCCGCCCGCGCTCGTCAGCACCCGGCGTGGTCGGCTGGAGATTAGAATAAAAACGATTGATTAGTGGCAGCTGCGAAGCGATGAAGCCAGCGAGATCTTTATCTCGAACCATAAGCAAGAACGCCAAGCTTATGGCTTTTAACAATTGCTGTACGGTGATGTCGTTATTAGCTGCTAGTTTAAGATTATTCTACGTGGACAATCTAATGGCTACGAAGTGATTGCCGTTGGAGTTTCAGTAGCCAGCCAGCCGTGCAGACTAAAGGCCCCTTTGCATCGAAGGAATGGGAAAGGAATTTCGTACGATTTAAAGTTCCTAAGGAAACTTTACGATCCTACTCTTTGGTTCACAAGAAAAGGCAAGCAAGCATTCCATAGGATTAGAAACCTACAACTGAATTCCATAGGAAAAAAAAAAGCATGAGTTCAGA